TAAGACTGACCTGTGGGACCTCGCAACTTTATCTTTATTGACCCTAGGCAAAACGTTTAACCCATTGCTTTTGGTCAACAGCCACTTCTGTTTCAACACTAGAGACCACAGTGGTACAAACTTGTTAGGTGATCCCTCACAATTTGCAGGAGAAAGGCAAAACACTGCAGGAACAGAAGTGTCTGTAATGCAGACAACAGCCCTGCAGTCCAGCTTCCAGCAGGAATGAAACTATAAATTTCCTCTTAGAGCCTTTGTCAGCCACATATAAATATGCAAAATTAGACTTGGGATGTAAAGATGGTTCTACAGAGACACAGGTCATCTCCACAGCCACAGGAAAGAGAGTCCTGATCTTCATCTGCTTTGTTTCTAGATTTTATGAATATCTCCCAGCTCTTCGATCAGGCCTCTGGAAGGGTCTTCTACCTTATGAGAATGATTTTGAAGAAGTAAGGAGGCACCATGTGGTCTTTTAGAATATACACTCCACAACTTCCTCCTACTGCAAAGCAATTCACTCAACAAAATAAACCAAGGAAACTCCCAGCCATGTTGATCATTTTCAGAAATAGGAACTTGTTACAACCAACTGCAGATGCAACAACCTCGCTGGTTTCCAATTCACTTCCCTAAATGAAAACTTGATGGTCTGTTTCTGAGTGAGATCCCCTGTAAAAAGAGCTGAATTCAGTTCTACCTATTTTTCCCTCATCTATCCTGTGTTTTAACATTTGAAAGTCAAGTTATTTCCCATCCCTGAAAGCCTCTCCCTGTTGATACCACCAGAGTCACCCCCATTTGAAGCTGGAAGCTGCCTTTTACTTGCCCCACACAATTAAACCCCTAGTGAAGCCTTAACCAACCTCACAGAACAATTCTGAGAATGAAATTTCTGTGCTGTGCACTAGGATTGCCCTCCCAGTTTAATTACCAAGGCTCATATACCCTTAGTATAGTCCCTATACGTCGTTCACCCACTCTGCAATGCTCCTCCTCTAATCCCCACTTCTCCATGGAGAAACTTTCCCCACTTGCTGTATCTAACTGTAATTTATCTAACACAACATGGTTAGCTGAGGGACATAAAGCCACCACAGAGATATGACTTCAAGAGGACAAGTTTGGTAAGTCCAAAAGAGTCAGAGCTCTTAACGTGCCAACTGCAATGGCTTGCCTCAAACCATCACGGGGTGTTTGGTAAGTCCAAAAGAGTCAGAGCTCTTAATGTGCCAACTGCAATGGCTTGCTCCAAACCATCACGGGGTGTCGGAGATGGGGCAAGTCTTTTTTCAGTGGTGCCCAGGGATAGGACAAGAGGAAATGGGCACAATCTTGAGCGTAAGGAGTTCCACCTAAACCTGAGGAGGAACTTCTTTCCTGTGAGGGTGGCAGAGCCCTGGAAGCGGCTGCCCAGAGAGGTGGTGGAGTCTCCATCTCTGGAGACATTCCAAACCCACCTGGACACGTTCCTGTGGGACCTGCTCTGGGTGGACCTGCTCTGGCAGGGGGTTGGACTGGATGATCTCCAGAGGTCCCTTCCAACCCCATATCATTCTGTGATCAGAGCATCCTAGATCTACATGCCTTTTCTCCCTACGGGGACTTGGGAAACGCACTTATTGCCATCTCGCACAACTTCCCACAGGTGCCTGAATTCTACTAGAGCCAGAATTCAAGAAAATGGTAAATCTTAGCAATGAGTAGATGACAGCAACCTAATCGTACTTGGTACTTGTTTACATGACAAACCCATGGGGCTTCCAGAGTCCATGCCAAAGGACAGCCACTATCACAGAATCGCAAGGGTTTGAAGGAAACTCTGGAGATGCTCTAGTCCACCCCCCTGCCAAAGCAGGGTCACCCACAACAGGCTGCACAGAAACGCATCCAGTTGAGTTTGAAATACACAAGAGAAGGAGACTCCACACCTCTCTGGGCAGCCTCTTCCAGTGGTTGGTCACCCTCAAAGAAAACACGTTTTTCCTCATGTTCAGATAGAACTTCTTACTTTCCAGTTTGTGCCCGCTGCCCCATGTCCTGTCACTGGCCACCACTGAGAAGAATCTGGCCCCATCCTCTTGACACCCACCTTTTAGATAATGTTAAGCATTGCTGAGGTCCCCTCTCAGTCTTTCCTTCTCCAGGCTGAACAGCCCTAGGTCTCTCAGCCTTTCCTCACCAGAGGGATGCTCCAGCAGCATGACGCACTGTGTGGTGCCCATACTGAAGCCTGCACTTGCAAGCCATGCAAGCACAGAGAACCACATGAAGGTAAACACTGAGCAGCTCAGTTTTTGGCCACAGAAGACATTCATTCTGTTCCCTCCTCCCTTCCTCACGCACACCTACTCATCCCCAGATCATGCTTTTAATTCCTCAGACTGAATTCCCTCTAAGTAGCACTCTCTAAAAAAACCTAAACAAAAACCAAGACATCCCACACCTTGCCACCTATTATCTTTCTTTAACCCTCTGGAACTAGTATACCTTCTGCAGAAAACATACGAGGACAGGCATCATTGCGTCCCATCCTCACAGGACTATTTAATTCGTGTTAAATAGTTGATTTCCATTTAATTTACAAGGCCCATCTGCTGAGCAGGGCAGCAGAAGACAGGTTGTATGACACGACACCTGGCCGCTAAGACACTAAATAAAATTACGGAGTTCCCCAAGGACACAAAACCCCCACGCCAATGCTAGAGTTACAGCTCCAACCATTACAAATAAAGCAATTTATAAAAGCTCCAAGAAAGCATTGCTCCAACCATCTCTCCCTGGTACCTCAAGTTTTAATCATCTAAATCCTTCACACCTTGATTTAAAACTTCTGTTAAGGCATCGGTGAGTTGTACCCCTCATTTCCCTTCTCCACACCTTCAAATGCTGCTTATCCAAACTGAAATGCAGTCAGCCACGTGGCTCACATCTACCACCACTTCACAGTGCCTCCTGCGTGCATGGGGGCATCGCTATTTCAGAGGATGAACTTTTAATTTACTCGCTCATTACAATATATTAAGGCCCCTTTCAACACTCGCTCACAAGATACACGTCAGAGTTCAAGGAATCGTCGAATAATTCACCATCCTGAGGAGATGCCTCAGGTTTAAGAGCCTGAGAATTATCTTTTTCTTCTAAAACATGAACTTCATTTTCATTTATAGTCCACAATTTTGCCTGTGCATATCTCCCACTGACAACATCTTTAATGATACCAGTTGGTTAAACTCTCAACTGTTATATACAGCTTGGAAAATCGAAGGAAAAAAATGATCAGGGACATATCTTCCCAGGAAATGATAATTTCTCTCCCTCTCATGCGTCTTACAGGCAGGTGGGGATGAAATTGCTTGGAATTCTACGAGAATTCTCTCTCCCACGCTCATTTTCTGAAGTAGTAATATTAGCACCAAAATCCAAACTCAAAGTCTTTCCAGACCTTAATATAGCAGTGGTACAATTATTTCTACCTCATTTTAATCCTGCCTATTCCAGAGAGTACTTTTATTTATATATAGAGAGAGACACAGACACACACACACGTGTGTGTATATAAATATATTGAAATACACACACACAGACACAGCATGCTTTTAAACACGAGCTAAAGCTTTTAGTAACAAATAGGGTAGGACTGTCCAGACACAGCCTACAGATTAAGAAGTGTCGACAGCTACCAAACAGCAACATGAGAGACATCAATAACCAAGAGGATTTTTTAAAACATACGAGAAAATGAGAATACATGATATCAAGACAGCCAATCTATTTAAATAACTGTTTAGACTCAAGTTAGTCTTCAAGCAACGGTGCTTACATCAGCATCCCTTAGACATATATACAAGAGTATGTAGAGGTACTGGAAGACCAACATGCTGTTTGCCACTTTAAGGGTTAGCTATGAACTCGTTAGCACTGAAATCTGGAATTATTTTCCAGAAATAATACTACCTCCTTCTAAGAAATACTGGATCATCAACACAATTGTACTCGGTGACCACCAGCAGCCAAGAAACTGGTATAAAACCTGCTGATCTTGGCTTGAAAGCATTTCTTACCCCACCCCCCCAAAAACAGGAAAAACACTTTATTTTAGATATCATAGCCTGCTGTTGATCTACCGAGTTCAGTCCTGAACAGAGTTACTACTGGGAAACAAGGCCAATTAACATCGTTGCAATTAAATTCTTTCACCGTTCTACTCCTTGGTGTCTCCAAGCAGGGACTGACAGTTGAGTGGGTTGGCAAGAAATAAAATTGTCAAGACAAAACATCACTAGCTCATTGTTTGTTAAGAAACGTTTTGACTTCAACCTTGTTTCACGCGTTAACTCGCTAATGCCCGTCCAGAATAGACCATGAGTCTTTGGGAGACACAGCTAGAGCCATCCTCCATGAACCATGATGCAAACCATCAGGCACCTCATGAAATCACTCTCTGATATTTGGGACCCCAGGAACCACCATTAAACTCTCCAAGGGTTGTCCCTTTTCCAAGTTGTCTCCCCATTTAGGTGCACGCCACCAGCTAAACCTCTCCAGAAGTCCACTGTGGAGGTGGCCATGCTCCTACCAGGGCTCGGCCAACTCCTGGCGTAGCATTTATGGCTTGGCCCAGCTTAATCCCAACTGAAGGAGGGAGTGACCAGCGTGTGTCCATGTCGCCCTGCGTCCCATTCCCTCCCCTCTTCCCGACCCCCTGCATGTGTGGCTCTGCAAACGCAAGAGGTCATGAAGGGAAAAGGGTTAAAAAAGAAATAAAAATGGCCGAAAGAGCAGTATTATGCAATAAGAGAAGAAATGCAATAATAACTCATCCTCTCCTAGAGATTTCTCATAAGCCCCGAGGGTTTGCAAGCTGGATGACAGCAAGTGTGGCTGAACGGCGCCCCAAAATAGCCCTACAGGGACCCTCCTCGGCCCCGGGGTCTTGGCTCGGGGACATCCCCACCCCTCCCAAAATAAAAAATAAAATAAAAAAAAGGGATGCTCACAGTCCAGGTGTTTTTTCTTGGGCCCCATGACTTCATGCGTGGTGGCCTTGCAGACGGCCCTGGCTACGGCCGATCCCGTAACGCTGTACTGAGCAGCTGCGATGCGATCCGTCAGCGTCTGACCCGACATCTTCGCTCTCGGCGCGCCTGCGGCGGCTGCTGCTGCTGCTGCTGCTGCCTGCTCCTCTGCAGAGGCGGAAAAAAGGGAGGAAAAAAAATAAAAAAAATAAAAAAAATAAAAAATAATAACAAAAAAAAAGAAAAGAAAAAAAATTAAAAACACACGCACAAAAACGCAAAAAAAAAAAAAAAAAAAAAAAAAAAAAAAAAAAAAAAAAAAAAAAAACACCAAAAAAAAAAAAAAAAAGAAAAAACAGGAGAAGGGAAGGGGAAATTCCGGGTTTATCGCTGGAGCGGGGATGGAGGGGGGGGACACACACACGGCACAGACACACGCACGGACACACACACACACACACCGAGCTACAC